AGGCAGCCAGAGATACCTCTGGTGAAGGTACAGTGGAATCATCAGGATGAGAGAGAGGCTACTTGGGAGCTAGAGTCAGAAATGAAGGGAAAGTACCCACATCTATTCGAATAAGGTACGCAAATTTTGAGGACGAAATTTCTTTTTAGGAGGGTAGAATGTAAGACCCGTGTAAAATACATATATATATTTATATCATATATTTATTTACTTAATATAATTTAATGGTTATCTCTGATTTAATTTAAACGGGTGATTGTCATAAAGTTTGTTAAATAATTTAAATTTAAAAAAAAAAAAAACTAATTTATCTCACCAGACTCCCTATATCTCTATAGCTCTCTAATACGTTTTATTTATATATATATATATAAAAAGAGATACTAGCACGATAACGGGAGAAGAAGGGACCAGAGAAAGTGATTTGACGTCGTGTTTTCCTGCAGTAGCCGGGGGAAAGGAACGGTAATCGGGAAGTTACGTAGAAAGGAAGAATTATTTATACCAGGCAAGTTAATCTTGCTTTATATTTTTATATATGTTTACGACTTAATTTATAAAATTTCTTAAAGAATTATTCTAAGACTGTTCTAGCATATTTTAGTCAATTGTTTGATGGAAATCTATGATTATTTGATATATGAACCTGTTTAGTAGATTAATATGTGGTTGTTACTCGCTCTTTGGTATTTAATGAATTGTAATACGGAGTTGTAGGTGTAATCGTGTTGGATCTAATTATAAATACATATGGGTTCCAGTATACATGTTACCACATGCACTCTATTGGGTACTTATTATATTCATTGCCTATAATTCTAGATTTTTTTTCTGATTGAATGAAAGTTAGTTAATATATATGCTTATGTGGGGACATATACAGAATTATGAACTTATTAATAGCATGAACCAATTGTGATTGGATTTTTGGGAAGTAAATGACATAAAAATTTGTATGCTGACTAGTAAATATATAGGTACTTATGTTGGATTTCATGAAAGAATTTGTGTTCCTATATATAGGTGACTACGTGTATCTATTTAGTATAAAATTTGCCTAAATAGTGGGACTGAACTTTAAAGACTTTGCTTAATTAAATTGATTATGCTATTTAATTATTAGGAATAGATTAGACATGTCACTGAACCTTGAATCTTCTATTTAATTAGTTTATAAATAATTGGAAAATTTATACATACATGAAGTACTTGGACTAAATATATTTTTTAAGAAACTCACTATGTCAAATTATGAGTACCTGTAACTGATTAATTGAAGAGGTGGATATATATATATATGAAATCTATTAGGTTGATCTGTGATATATATATATATATATATATATATATATATATATATATATATATATATTTGTTTGTGCAGTTATACAATTGCATAAGGAAGTTTAGATGAATGTTAAACTGAATATGTTTGCTGACTAAGTTTACTGGGACGAAATTTCATAGCCAGAATTGGTATTATTTGTACTTCCAATTGCATGCCTCATTATTAGTTACAGTACTGGATGAATAAGTGATAGTTAAGGTTTATGGGTACGAGTATGATGATAAAATTTCATATTATATTATTATATCACAATTCACCATAATTAATAATTAATGGATGAGTTTGGATTAGTCGGAGGGGTAGTCAGGGACTGACCCTATGATGACTTTTTGGGTATGGTCAGGGACCTACCTAATTGGGAATGCACTGCCCTTTTGTTATGGCCATGGGTCTAATGAGCCCTTATTGTGTGGACGTGATCAGGGATCATTTGGGAAGTAGACGTACAATCCAGCCACACGTGTGTTTTTGGTAGTCAGGGACTATACGATTCACACCATTTTATTGGACGGGAGCCTGGGGCTCATGTGAGATATGCCGATTTATTAACAAAAATAAAAGATGGTTATTTATTAAGTTTATAATTAACTAGGTTATACACATTTGAATAATGAACTTATTTGAGTTGCTTATATATACATGAATATAAGGTAAGGTTAATTTGCTGAACGATGATTGTGTTTAGCATTTATTGCTGAGCTTGTGAGCTCACCCCATTATCACATTTCAGGTACACGTTGAGTAGGAACGTGATGGGATTACATGATGGAGATGAGTTTTGGCTTGTTTGTCGCATTCTTTGGTTTAGTTCAATTTTCGCATTGTAATAAGAATGACGATATTTTTTTTTGAGAGTTAGTTCATTTTGTCCAGTTATCATGGATTATGTTTGAAAAGGTTGTTTGATATTATGGTTGTATTGATTTAATAAATTAGAGGGTGGTTTTCATCTACTTCTTTATTTAATTATTTCTATTGTAAAGTTGTGGTTGTGTAAGGAAAGTCATGTCAAATCTTAATACGAGATAAAAGTTCATGTATTTGGGATTTTGGGGCGTGACATCAACCGCAGAGAAAAAAGGGGTAGAACACTCCGAAAAGCAGAGGAAGTCCTACAAGAAGAGGAGGATTCCTACGATGAGGAGAAAACTCGACCTAGCTAGATGATCGAGAAGCTAATTGTGTGATAATTTTATAAGCTAGGTCTAGCTAATAACACTATCTTTGTCAAACAAAACTTTTTTACTTCAACAACTACAATTCTTTTTTACAAGATTATGGCATTCTAGAAGTCGATAACAGCGATGACCCGAGTAGGAGAACATGATAGTTGAAATTTTAGCATAAAAGAGCTCCTAATCAAACCACAAATTTGATCATTTTTAAATCACGAGAGGTTAAATTTTGTTGGAAAAAAAATGTATATGAAAAGAATTTATTTTTTAAAATGTATTTAAATACTACAAATAACTCCATATGTTTTAAATATTCTAAATGTAAAAACGTATTCCTTCCATCTCATATGTAGTGTTGTCTTTAGTAACCGTGACTCACAAAAGTCATTGTTACCAATATGACGATACTAAATATGGGACGGGGGAATAACAATATATTTTTTAAGTTAACTTCTTCTTCTTCTTCTTCTTCTTCTTCTTCTTCTTCTTCTTCTTCTTCTTCCAATAGTAGGTATTAAAGAATACGAGTGATTGATTAATAGAGTGAATGATATTTTTTTTATATTCTATTTTTCTTTATAAAGGTACTAATAATAAAAAAAAAAATTACTTTCCGATTAAGCTAGGTTAGATAAATCAACCTAAAAATTAAGTTGATCTCAAGTTAATTTTGAATTAAGTTAGTCCTAAACATATATAAAAAAATCTAAACACTTATAAACTAATTCTTAGGGAACTAATATACAATAAATTAAGATTTTTAAACAAAGAAAGTTGAAAATAAAGTAATAATCATAATATTTTTTTTTAAATGAACTAAAATCAAGCCCAACCTAATTAAATTTAAATTAAAAAATTTCAGCCCCAATCCTAATTATAAAAATAATTATCTTGTTAATATTTTAATTTTTTCTTCCTTATATATTTTTCTAAATCGAAAATTAATTCACCACATTGAGGGTAAGCCTTGATGCTACCACAAAATTGTTCATTTGTAAAGTCACCAGTTCGAAACAAGGCAACATCACCAGTATTAATCCGAAAGGAATGTGCGTTCCCATGGCATTTTATCAAGCTTTCTCGATCTGTGATTGTGTAGTTGTGTGGTGCAAAAGTGTGTTTATAAATTATTAGAAATTAACTTGCCAGTGGGCGAACCTTTCGTGCTAAAAAGAACTCCATTTTACAGCATGAAATTCACTCAATGTATCTCTTTTACCTTCCAAAGTTGATAGTGAGGATTCGAGTTCCCAAAAAACAAAGTGGGTGCGTAAGTGGAGTGCATGTGTTTGTTGTCAATTATAAAAAATAATACTAATAATTGAAATAATTATATTTATAGGATATTTAAAATAAAATAAAATAAAATTAGAATTTGGGTAGGGTTAGGGTTAGGATTAGGATTAGGCTTAGAATTGCTAACACTTCTACTCAAATTCAACCCTAATTAAGTTCGAGTTAATATTCTTCAACCTAAGTTTAACTCAAATTGTAAATTAAGGTAGCCCAAACCTTTAAAAAATTGGGATGAACTCGAAATGTGTTTGGGTGGACTCAAGTTAGAGAATTTTTTAACCTAAACCCAATTCTAATTATATATTGGGTAGCCTATGCCTGTATCAGGTTGAACTCAAGTTACGTTTGGGTTAGTCCACCCAAATTGAACTCCTTCTCCAAAATACAAACCCAGTCAAGTAACCACAGGCTAATTAAAAAAAAAATTTGCGGTAAGTGGGCTAATTAATTTTGGGTTTGGTGTAGTGGTTTCGCTCCAAATTGTTTTGGGTCACATTTCTCTTGGGCTGTATTTTGGTAATTTCTCTTGGGCTGTATAATGTTCTTTGGAGAACCTGGGTGTTGGGCTCTCTTGGGCCATTGGCCTTATAAATTTTCTCACACACGTATAGATATATATATATAATTGTTCAGGGAATCGCTGACTAATATGGATGACTGATCAAGTATTTTCCATTATAAACACTATAAAAGGAAAATAAAATTAAAAAATTAGAAAAATTGTATGAGAGATTGAATGATATTATAATTCAAATATGAAATTTCATATATTTTGGTTCAAGTTGTGTGTCATAGGTGCATTAATATATTTGGGTATATATGTCCTCAATATTTGGAGCGTGATATATATATAGTGGAAACCATCTACACCTCCATTCTACCGATATAACATGCTGATTTAGTTAAAAAATAAAAAAATAATAAAAATAAAATAAAATAAAATTGCAAAATTTAGGACATGCTTAGTTTATTTTATAAAGTATTTGAAAAATAACAAAAAAAACTTTAAATAATTATAAAAAACAGTTCTAATCTCTAACCTATAATGTCTTTAAATAATTATAAAAAAACAGTTCTTATATCTAAGATATACTGTCTCATTCCTTTGTCTGATGAATGACTGACCACGAATTCAAAGAAAAATATATCTGCATTATATACCCAATCCTTGCAATTGTTACCTCATTATTCGGTATAAGTAATCATCAGGAAGCAAGATCTGCAAGCCTGGTTCTCGAACTTCTGTGTAAATGCCTCTGCAACTCTGGTTCTTGAACTTCTGTGTAAATGCGCGCATTATCATCCTCGGACTTCGGCTGAAGTCCTTCGCTGCTAGAATGTCATTTTCCAATTCATAAGGAGGAGAGTAGAGAGAGCTGAATAAGGATGCAGTTTCGGTGGTGGTCTCAAAGGACTTACTGTCTCTAATTTCTTATTTTTTGATTATAAAATTTAGACTTGGAACAAGTCATGACTTGAATACATAAAGCCAACCCTCCCATAACGCGTGGTGACTTGACTTGTTAGTGTATTGACGCCGTGATGACTTGAAATCGGACCGACAACCATATCAATTTACAAAAGGAACCACCCTTTTACTTGAATGACCCGGTCACTGGAATCAGCTTTAAATAAACTTACAGGCAAAATAAATTTTGCACTGATTAATTATAATGAATTATTAGACTTATTATTTTTAATTAGTTATTTATGTAATAAATAAAAAAAATAAATTTTTTCACTTATTTGTAATTACCATAAATAATTAATAAAAAATTATTTATTTACTTGTAGTTATCATAAATAATTAATAAAATATTTACAGATAAATTCAACAAAATCTCTCTCAAGATTAATTCCACAAAAATCTTAAAAGGGAAAAGAGAATTGCAACTACCTATTCCCCACACACTAAGGGAGGGGTAATATAGAACCTTATTATAATTTAAGGTGATTTATGAAATTAATCTAATTGACTAAATTGGATCACTAAGGGAGGGGTTCTATAGAACCTTATTATAATTTAAGGTGATTTATGAAATTATAATTTTAGTTTTTTTTTTTATAAAAGAAGAAGAAGAGAGGTTTCAATCGCTTTGAATAACGCTAAACTTGACAAAAGAAGATCTTGCAAAAATTTATATTTTAGTCTTTTTATCTGCAACAATTTTCGAGTTAAGGGTATCAAATAAGTCAAAATTTGACATCTGAGGGCTCCTAAGATGTAAAAATAATACTAAGACTATCTCCAATGCTAAAAGTTATTTTTACATGTCACATTTATATTTTGATAGGTGTTACAGTGTCAAAATGCTACATTTTACTAATTTTACTTCAATGGTGCATTTCATGCAAAATGTTATTTTTTAACACAATTACCATTCTTTTTCAACTACCATTACCACCATTCATATTTGGATCACTAATATTAATATTAGACACATTCCAAATCAAGTTGTAGATATTAGAAGAAAACTAAAATTTAAATCTAATTAAAAAGAAGCAAAAATCTAAAATATTTAGTCAAAAAAAGACAAAAAAAAAAAAAAAACCATCTCTATTCTCGTTCTCACTGAACTTGCCCCCTCTTTCGGCCATATCATTTCAGATTGTTCAAAAAATCAAAACCCATATCTTCAGTTTCCATCGCCCGCTACTCCAGTTCGGGCTCGCCCTTAGCAAGCTTCAGCCGCTGTCTCTCAATTCTCAAGTTTGCCCCCCTCTCTCTCTACAACAGCTAACTTGTATGTATAGGTTTTGCTTTAATTTTTTTTTTTCCCTGTAATTCTATTTTATGATGAAGGTCTGTAATTCTATTGTATATATATATATGTGTGTGTGTGTGTGTGTGTGTGTGTATAGATCTGAAACCCTCTCTCTCTCTCTCTCTCTGAAATAGCTACTGCTATTTCTTGTGCTACAATTGGCATCAATTTTGGCAAAGTTAAAATTTGGCAGACATTATAGCTTTGCATTGGAGAGCTCCTTTTCAAGTCCACTTGCTAGATTTTAGAAATAGCATGCAATATAGCATTGCATTGGAGATGCTATAATAAACTCTAATTTAGATGGTGTAAGCTCTTTTTTTCTTTTCAAAATGAAAAATCATCGAGTACCGGTAGCCAGTGAGAATATATAGTGATGTGTATTTTTGTAAACTTTCCGGAAAAGAAAAGCTTTTTACGCTTCAATTTTGTTTTGTGCAATTATTTATTTATTTAATTTTTCTACATGAAAAAAAACTAAGAACTTGAACTATCAACATTCTACTTTATTTATTTTTAAAAAATTAAACTTCTAACACACGCTTTACTCTTATAAGAACTTGAACTCTTAAGCTTCTACTTTATAGAGTTCTATAAGAAGATGTACCACTAAATCATGCATGGTCCTATTCATTAGTTGCCCACCCTGAAATTTTTTAAGTAGGGGCAACTAATGAATATTAATATTACCCCCACTAAAATTACTAGAAGAATTTCACTATTGCTTCAATGCGTATAAACAACAATCACACTTCACACGTCTCACTCCATGATTTGAATGACATGTTGTTGTTAAAGGCCGCCCTCATGAAATTTTCTAATTACGTCATTGCACTAGATTACAATCTTGGGTGACTAATAATTTTTTTAGTTAGAAAACTCTTAAACCTAAATAAATTAAAAGATTAAAATTGGAATCGTTCATTAATCTTAGCGCTTAGATCTTGACCCTGCATATATAATTAAGAAAATGTCTTGTAATACGCGTTATGTAATTTTCACAATATTGATGGCAAGTAACGAATACTAGCGGCAAAAATAAAAAAGTAAAAAAATACTAATCAACGAAAATTCATTGAATGACGAGGAAGTTCAAAGGTAATTATTTTTACTTCTTCGGTTGGAGTTCTAGGAAATTTTAGTTGAAAATAACATATAGGAAATATTAGAACTAGCTAAGTAAGATGTGGCCAAGTTTGGTCCGTATACATTGGTCTACTAAGAGCAGCCGCAGCGGGCTAGCTAAAGGCCCATTTCCACGAGCAAGTGGCCTTTTGGCCGGGCAACGGGCTCGCTTAAATTCTTGGGGCCCACTTTGCCTTACGGGCCAGCTCGTGGAATACCACTGTTTGGCTTTTTTTTTTTTCAAGGGCGTGCTAGAGTCTTTCGACCCAAGGGGTTGGATAGCCAAACTATCCTTGATGCTGACCGAATTTGTAATCGGCGCTTTTTTGAATCAGGCGAATGCTAGAAGGCAAGGATGACCCCTTCCTTCAGATTCTTCAATGCCTCAATTAAGAGGACTTTTGACAAAATAAAATAAAATAAGGGCTGAAATTGGATGAAGGGAGCAACACTAACTGTACAAATGTTCATCAATCACAAATAAACTTATAAAATAACAACGGAGGGAACACTTAAGTACTAGCGTCCATCTTATTTTATAAGTGAAATTCTTACACAAGTGATACAAGTACAAGAATTGTATTCTAACAGAACTACCCCTAAGTAAAAGAAGTATAATACAATGAAAAGACTTAAGTAAATTGCAGAGAATGAAAAATCCTAAGCTAAAGAAGTGTAATACAATGAAAAGACTTAAGTAAAATGCAGAGAATGAAAAATGCGTTGCGTGGTCGAGGACCTTTTGCGCAAGGCTTTCTTCTTCTATTTATAGTTGAGGCTCCAAGCAATTACTAAAAGAAGTTTTCTTATCAAATACAAATATTATATTTGAATTAAAAAAACTTCTTTATCCAAATACACTTCATTTTGTCTTAAGCTTATCTACATACACTCATTTTCCCGCTTATCCAAATGAACGTATTTTTTGGAATCGAACTAACGTAGCTGCAATTCGTAACTTTAAACTCCAATTTTTAAATAAGAGTCCTACTAGTAACACTATATATATATTTTCCTCCAATTAAATAACACCATGTGTCTGAATAAAAAAAATTAAATTTATAGTGCAAACAATGCCCCCCAACTCTTTGAAATAAGGGCAGACCGAAATTTTAAAGAGTTGAACTGATGGATCACAATTTTAATCAGTCACTCTTATTCGGCCATTCGCATAGCTAACTAGTCCATACATCTTCTGACAATTCTTCGATTGCTTTTCCGATCAGCACCTTGATAAGCGCCGAATGTTGCATATTAAAGCGCCCTTTCTTGCATTAGTTAAGTCTGTTAATGGAGTAAAATGTACAGTTTTAATTTATTTTTGCACTTTTGTCTTATTTCAGGTCGGTCTCCCTGAATTTGATCAAAGAAGCAGTTTTGGCATCAATTTTATTGAAATACGTGCGCTGTGCCGGGGAGTTATCTTTTGGACCTGAATTCTCCTGATCCCGTTTTATGAAGTCATGACTGAGTGTTCGTCGTGGGAGTGCATCCACGGTCCGGCTTGAAGAAGGCTTGCAAGAAGCCTTGATAATGTTGCAAAGGCAAGCTCCCGCGGGGCCCGCCACGCCACTGCGGGCGCCCGCCAAATGCCTCACCTCTCTGTCTAGTTTCACGGTGCCTTGCAGAAGCCCCCGCAGTAGCTCCCGCACACCACCGCGGGCTTCCGCCATCGCGCCGCGGGCGCCCGCCAAACATGCCAGTACCATCCTCGCGAGCCGCAGCTTCCGCGAGCGCCCGCCGGCACCTCGCGGGCACCCGCCGGCCCTCTGTAGGTAGTTCACCTGCCCCTGTTTTTCAGCATTTTTGTTCCCTTATCTTCCTTTTATGTGGTTGAGATTAAGCCAATGGGGGGAGCTCAGGATTTTGGAGTATGGGGTGTAGGTTTTGGAAGGATAGGAATGGGGTATGATCATACATATCTCATATCTCAAATTTGAAAAGCTAGAGGAGAGGTGGAGAGCTTTTTGGGTGTTTTTGGAGCTCAAGGTGCAACAATGGAGTATTCTTCTTCTTCTTTCTCTCCACTCCTTGCATTAATGGGTAACTAAACCTCCATCTAGGGAGGTGATGATGACTTCCCTTGTAATCATGTTTTAGATTAGTTTCTATTTTGGGGATAAATATGTATAATTTTTGGTCTTCTCATAATCTAGAGCATATTACTTTTTGTAATGAATTTCAATGTTCATAAATGATTGATGTAAGTTAATTATCTTATCTTTGATGATCCTTATATTAATCTTAATGCTTACATTTTCATGGTGCAATGGAAATAAGATTATGAGTGGTTTTCATGGCATGTTGATAGAGAAACTTGATAGTCCATTGCTTAGGTATTCCCTTTGATGGTTTATACTTGATTCCTAAATTCATATGCTTTATCATTTGATTAACGGCTTGATGGTCTTTTGCTTAAGATAGTAGGTTTGATGCTACACCCTAGTTTAGGTAGTTCAAATGTATGAACTTTTGATGGATCATTCTTGTTTTGATTTAATGAACTTCTTGATGATTATAGGGTAACCATGTGTTGCTATATAATT